GTCGGGGAGCGATTCCCGACGGGCCGACACGACGGACGGGGGGGGGGGGGGGGGGGAAGAAGGAGGAGAGAGGGGGAGGGCTGGAAGAGGAAGGAGAGGAGGAAGAGAGGAGAGCAGGGAGAGGAGGAGGAGGAACGTGGGGGAGGAGGTGAAGAGGAGGAGAGAGAGGAGAGGAGAGGAGGAGGAGAGAAAGGAGGAGGAGGAGAGAGAGGGAGGGGGGTGAAAGAAGGGAGGAGAAAGGGGGAGGGGGGAAAGGGCCTCGGCGGGGATTGTCTCAAATGCATATACATATACAACACATAACATTATACATACATATATACATATACATATACAATATATATACATATACATTACATATTATACATATATATATATAACATATACATATATACATATACATATACATATACATTACATATACATATACATATACATATACATATACATAACATATACATATACATATTACATATACATACACATAACATATACATATACATTACATATACATATACATATACATACACATACACAATACACATACCACATATACATACACATACATGTATAAATATGTATGTGTGGGTGTGTGTATGTATCTGTATGTATGCAGACAACACACACATACACATACACACAACACACACACACACACACACATATATATCCCCCCCTCTCCCCCCCCCCTCCTCTCTCTCTCTCTCTCTCTCTCTCTCTCTCTCTCTCTCTCTCTCTCTCTCTCCTCTCTCTTCTCTCTCTCTCTCTCTCTCTCTCTCTCTCTCTCGCTCTCTTCTCTCTCTCTCTCTCTCTCTCTCCCCTCCTCCCTCCCTCTCCCTCCCCCTCCCTCCCTCCCTCCCCGCCCTCCCTCTCCTCTCCCTCCTCCCTCCCTCCCCCTCCCTCCTCCTCCCTCTCTCCCTCGCGTTCCGCTCGAGCGCGCGCCGCCCCTCTTGAATCCGGATTCTCGAGCGTTCGCCGAAGAGCAGAGGTTGCGTGGATGCCCCGCGGAGGCGAGCGGGCCGATCGGGCACACGCGGCGGTGCTCGCTCTGTGAGGACGCCCGTAAACGCTCCCTCCAGTTTAATAAATGAAACTTTATTGCCGCAATGAAACTCAGTGAGGTCCTCTATCACGGTAATTAATAATCTTTCCGCTGCGCCTCCTTGTTAGGTCACGGAGGGCGAGGAGCGGAGGAGGAGGAAAGGGAGGTGGAGAAGGAGGAGGAAAGAGAGGTGGGAGAGAAGGAGAAAGTGGGGAGGAAGATGGGAGAAGGGGAGAAGGTGGAGGAGGAACAGGGAGATGGAGGAGGAGATGGAGGGCTCGGCGGAGGGAGAGAGAGGAGCGGAGGAGGAGGAAAGGGAGGTGGGAGAGAAGGAGAAAGTGGGGAGGAAGGAGGGAGAAGGGGAGAAGGTGGAGGAGGAACAGGGAGATGGAGGAGGAAGTGGCTGCGTGTGCGTGGGGGGAGGGGGGGGGTAAGATGCAATCGCAGGATATTAAAAGAAGACAATCAAATATTTGCGAAGGAAGAGGGAGAGAGAAGGTGAAGGATAGAGTTATCGAAATAAGGAAAACGAAGTAAAATAAAAGATATCTGAAGGAGCTTGGGTTGGAAATTCAAGCGAGAGAGAAACAAACTAATTTAAGAGACAAGTTCATTTAAAAGAAAAAAAATTATGAGATACGTAATGATAAAAAGTGTGATAGTAATAATGCTGCTAATGATAATGATACTAATATACCAGTAACAATAGCATTAGGAAAATACAGAGATAAAACATATACGAGAGAAAATAGATAAACGCTATACACAAGTACAAAAAATATTTCAGAAAATCATGAAGCGACATCCTGCGAACACTTCGAAAGGTAAATCTATTAACTTTTTTTACACATTCTTCCTTTTCGCGCCATTCTTCCCTTGCTGGATTTAACTTCCATCTCCTGTTTCCTTTTCGTCGAATTAAGCTTGTCCACGATTGACTGCAAATGAGTTTAATCATCACCAGGATTATCATTCATTAATATTCACTTGGCTGCTATAAGTCATCGCCATCTCTGGAATAAGGAACATGCTTCAAACTTTTATTATCAATATAAGTACTTTTGCTGTCATAACAACTTTGGAAAATATGTTCACACCATCAATTGTTATTCTCATTTCTTCTTTTTCTCTGGTTTTATGCTTCGTTATTCTACTTATCTATTCATTCATTTTTTGTTTGTTTGTTTGTTTATTTATCTACTTACTCATTTGTTTATTCTACTTCAGTGAATATCAGATTAACAAAGTCTATCGTGACAATCATTTGTTCATCCTTCTTCCACCCGTATTTACCTCTATACAACCATCCATCTATCTACCTACCTATCAGTCTGTGTCTGTCTTGTCTGAATCTGCAGTACACACACACACACACACACACACACACACACACACACACACACACACACACACACACACACACACACACACACACACATATATGCATATACAATATGATTATTCTACTTATCTATTCATTCATTTTTTGTTTGTTTGTTTGTTTATTTCTTTTTTATATCTACTTACTCATTTGTTTATTCTACTTCAGTGAATATGCATATGCATGTATATGTTTATACATCAGTGTCTATAACCACTGCAGATACAAGGAAATGAGTTCCCAGAGTTTTCCCTCCGCGCATCTAATTTACGAGATGCCCGGCCCTCTGACCCCTCTCCTCGTGCGTGTTGTGCCCTCCCTTAAAATCAGAGTACAGGCGGGGTACAAAGTTCGGGAGCGGATGAGGGCACAGGTGAGGATGTGGGGAGGAAGGCACACCCTTTTATGGGGTATTTTTGTGTACTGTTGTGATGTAGAAGTGATGTGGAGGGTCTGATGTGGTGCGGTGCGGGGATGTACTCGCAAGGGGATGTGGCTTCGTCCTGATGTATGGGTTGGGCAGATGGTGAGTTCTATTGCCTTTAAGGTACTTACAATAATGTTTCTGAGAGGTTTCTCCCGTTTCAGAAATATCTTGGTCGCTGACTGATTTCGGGCATGCAGCGGTGCATTTATTTTTAAAGGAGACTTTCAACGTGTGACAAAATCGAATTCACGAACCGCTCTCTCATGCAGGCAGAGCTGAATCGACCCTTTCCTCAGCGCGCCTTCGGAAGTGGTGCGCTCACGAACCGCGCCCGCAAGCGAGGGCAAGGCGCCTCCTATCAGCGGCGCATCTCGCCCACGCCTGACCCGAAAATCGCCGCGGAAAAAGGAATAGTTCGCAATTAGCCGTGCTTGAAGCGCCCTCGTTCGATGGGCGTTCTATTTGTGCAAACACGGCGCTATCGGCGGGGATCGGCTCGTCCCGGGGCGAAGGGTCGAGGTCAGAGAGTCGCAGGCGTAGCTAAATGAATATGCCACTTGGGTCAGCTGGAGGCCCGGCAGCGATGGCCGCGAGGTCAGACAGGGTCAGGCCCGGGAATGGAGGGAGCCAGGGGGGGGGATGCCGGGTCTGCAACATACAGAATGGGATTAAAGGGTCATGCGAGGGGAGTAATGTATGTGCCTTTAATGCATCAAATTTAGAGGTAAAAAAAAAAAAAATAGCTGAATTGCAGACGCGATTTACCCACACTTACTATCCTCTGTGTAAACTTATCCCGTGTCGATCCATATAAACGCAGTTCTGAACAAACACGTTCGCATCCAGCATGTCTCCTCCACTTGCCGATTATCTTTAAGGTTCGTTCTTCCTTCGACTCCAGCCGCGCCTTCGTCGACACGCATGTTCCTCCGTAAAGACTCGTGTAAAACCGCGCCTTTGTGTCAGCGCATGAAAACGAAGGCAAATGGTATCAGCCAAGCATTAATACCCCGGACGAGAATTAACGAAATCTATGTGTACCATCAAATTAATAGCTTATTGTGAGAGACCTTAGGAATCCCTGCCCTTCTACCTCCCTCCACGCCGGGACGAGAGACCCAGAGCGCATGCGTGAGTTGTGATCGGTTACACTCCGTGGGTTCCCATCTTCTATTGGTCGTAAACGCTCGGTCTATTTTGCACTAACAGCTTTATGGCACCTCGTTGTGTTCCACCTCGGTAATCCAACACCCATTATTTCAAAACCCTGACTAATTGCTTTGAAATATCCTTCCTTTTGGGATGATCTGTGATTGGGAATTGATTCATCACGAGGTTGATATCGGGAACGAAAGAAACCCGAGATCTGTGGGGGTCGGTTAGTTAAACAAGACGGGGGTTCGGTCGCCTTGTTTCAATTAGCCAAACTCTTGTTAACAGAATTCGGAACACGCAGACCCGTGTACCGCCGGGGAGTGCGCCGGGATCACCCTCCTCCCGGGGCGCCGCGGCGTTCGGTCTGGTTCAATATTTTTTGTGAATGGCATCCGTTTGATGCATGTGTACGCTGCGTCGTAAATCCTTCCACATCCAAAGAAAATATAGTGCTTGCATTCTTTGGGGGTGGATTACCATATACGTTAAGGCGATGAAAAACAGATTATGCCGCACTCACACACCGCACACGGACCCTCAATCATTATTTTTTTCCAGCCTGACACCTTCCCACTTCTACACAGATATACAACAAACGAATCCCCAAAATATAATAAGTATCCTTACTTAGACAGGAAAGGAAGAACAGGAGCCAGGCAGGTTTCGAAGGATACCGAAGGTCAGGAAAATACACTCCGCTAACCAATACTGCATGGAATTGGGTTTTCCTGACCACGAAAGAGAAAAATATTCATGATTTTCAAATTTTTGAAAGATGTTTCTCATCCCTAAAGATCTTTTGCTTAGTGCGTCTTATCGTTTTGTATGTTTTTATTTAACTTGTTACTCTCCTCAGATTATATCATTTTCACCGTACAACTGAAATTGACCTGTATAGACATAGTGACTATCGGAACCAGCAAATTTTACAATTTTGGAAATGTAACTGCGAACTGTTTTCGTCCTGAGTTTAAATACGAAATGTACCAGCCAAT